GATTTTTCAACAGGTATCTGCTTCCACCTCCTGGGACATGTCACACATCCCAGGAGGTTGCAGGGCCAATCCCGCAGCACCGTGCAATCTTGCACATAAGCATGAGAGTGGTTTTGTGATTCCTCAGGAAATCAGTCAGTTCCCATATTCAAATGGCAGTGCCGGGGACACACAGTGGTAAAAACAGGCTGCAGGAAAACTGCGCTGGTAAGTTTTTTTGTTTTGAAAGTTGGTAGGTATATTATTTATAGCCTCTGACTTTGGTTGAAAGGAAAGATGCAAAAACCTATGTTGATTAGCAGCTGCAGCCGCTGATCAGTGTATTCTGACAGCACCAGATACAGTTGTCAGAATTCAGGGGTTTGAATTCCTCCAATCACCTAATTTATGTGTATGGAGGAATCTGTCAGTTTTTTTTTTTTTTTTCTTCCCCCGCTAGCTGAAATAAAAAAAACCTAACCATTTATGGCCAGTCTACAGTCCCTTGACTGGTGCACGAAATGCATCTGGAGGAGCCTATGTGCTGACGTCATCCTGTTGCGTCCGTGTTTGGAGCAGCAGCCATCTTAGCCAGTCCTTTGCCGGATTTTTTAACAGGATTATCACGAGCTGTAACGTCGTCGTGATCTGTGGAGCTGCAGTTTTTTTGCATAAGGTGCTATACCTTATTTCTGGTGAATGCATAGTGGTGGTGGATTCACTTTTCGGCAACATACACAGATGAAGCACTAATAAAGAAGATATTCACTTTCTGATTTGGACATTATTCGGACGGTCACTGTCATGTTTATTTGTTGGATTACACTCTCAGTGGTGTTTTCAGTCACTTTTATTACACATATACAGCATATATTTTTTTTGCATGTTTGTGTATTTAGGTACTTCAGCACTGCACACACTTTTATTTTTGTTGTATTCTTTTGGTTTGTCACCATTTTTGTGCCAGCTGCTATTCTCTCCGAGCTCTCACTTTGTTTTTGTTGATTCCGTAAGATCTGAACATGCCTGAACTCATTCTTAATCTTCAACTACACCTTTGGGACTAAAATCCAAAAATGCTTGAGCTCCTACCCCTCACTTGGGGGTACATATGGTGACTGATCACATGATCAAATGCCTTGGCTGCTGTGAAATCTGAAAACTGTTTTTCTACAGCAGCAGCATTTAACTACTTTTTTTTTTTACTTTGAGAAATAGGGTGGTGCCTCACGTGATAATAGGCTCACTTTAACCCTAGGTTCACATCTGTGTGGGTGGTGCCGTTGCGGATCCACATGAAAATCTGTGCAGCCGCACCACCCGTACAGAGGAATGCGGACCCGCGGGCTGGTGCCATTAGTTCTAATGGCACGTCGCCCGCCCTGGAAAACGCAACCGTACTGGGAACCGAGGTTCCTGTGCTGGCTGCATTTTCCAAAGAAGTGCAGATACTTCTTCCCTGTGTATCACGGGCATGGGAGCCCATTCAAATGAATGGGCTCTCGTGCTCATGCAAAACACTGCCTGCACGGCCGCTTATATTTGAACCGGGGGTAAAGTGTATGTGTAGCAAGAAATTTTTTTTTTCTAGTTCTGAATAAAATGTGGAAGCGGTAGAACCCCTGTTTGGATTTTTTTTTATTTCTGCCTGTGTCCCCTCTAGAGAGATTTACCACCTATTTGTCCTGGTTTCCATAACCACTAAAGCTGGCCATACATTATACTATTTTATTTGTTCAATTTCCTTTAGATTAACCTTCAGCTATGTAGTGAAAAGGCCTGTCTGATTGCATACAAATTGAAAGTGCCTAGGTATGACCTCATATTATATGTTTTTGGTAAATCTAAAGCCTAAATATACACGAAAATTGTATATGTAAGGCCAGGCTAAGAATAAAAGTGATAGGAAAGCTACATTTTATAGTTGTTACCAGAACAATTGGTCATTTCACATTTTGTTACCTTTAAAGTGTTACTAAACCCACAACAGTAAAATCAGTCTGTATGTGCAGTAAAGCATGCTTGTTATACTCACTGTGGAACCTAAGGGGTTAATCCTCTGCATTGTGTAAAAACGCAGTTTGATCCTGACTTCTCTGATCCTCCCCTTCCAGTGTCCTCTTATCTCCTGATAAGACTTATTGTGTGCAGTCACTCTGCACATGCTCAGTTTGGTGTGCATTGGTAGAGAGGTTTTTTTTTTTTTCTTGGGAGAGTGCATGTGATCAGCACAGGGCCAATCAGCACTGTCCAAAATTAAAACACCACCTACAAGCTTTATCCAGTGCTCAGCTGGACACTGATAGAAGTCACAAGACTGCTCTAATTTCTGATGAGAAAAGGTATTTAGCTGTTTATATTTACCAAAATAATTGCATTTCCATGTTGTGTGTACTGTGGGAGACCAGGGTCCTGGGTTTAGTAACACTTTAAGGTTAATTCACCATCCAGGGGTTGTATACTGCCCAGATCAGCCTCTTTCTGTGTTGGGTACAGTCAGGTGTATGTGATCAGCTGCTCAGCCTGTACAGATCAATGACAGACTGACCAGCTCTACAGCTGTTTGCTTGTAATTGCATATAAAGCTATTGCATGCATTTAGGGACAGATGAGCAGCATAAAAATCCATCCATCTGTCCTTAACCACAGGTAATGGCTCTTTACATTTGGACAGTGTCTCCCTCTCACTGATTTGTACAGGCTTCCTGTCTGCAGCTGATCACAAACATCTGGCTGAAACCAGCACAGAAATCATGTATACCTACCTGGTTGGTGCACAGTATGGGAATGAGGCTTTATGTTGCACGTTTATTAGATAATAAAATAACACTCCACTTAAATTAGAACAGAACATTTTAAAAAAACTGAATAAAAACCCCCATACAAATTTTATAAACCGTTTTTCATTTGTACCCATCTGCTTCATTTCAACAAGTGTTTGTCTCAGAGCAAGTTTACAAAGGCCCATCTAAATTATAGTAAATCTGATATTTCAAGTTTTTAAGGTCACATTTGTGTTTGTCGTGAGCATTCCTTTTAAAGGGGTTTTTTTTTTTTTGTTTTTTGTTTTTTTAAAGATTTCCTTGTAAAACCTGTTCATGCTTCACACCCTAGCACAGTTACTACAGCATTTGAAAAATGCCACACCTAGACTCTGATTTATTGATTAGTGTGTTGGAGAAATAGACCATTGCCATTTAAAAGCATGTACAGTTATTTCCTGTCCAGATCTTATGGCTCATTTATTGTAAGAGGATCTTCATCTAGTAAATGGAACACTTATCTTGCTTAATTTTTTTTTCATTTAACCAGTGCATGCAAGGAAGATAATGGACATATTGGCACAGTAGTTGTTAGTTTACACCATCTTGGGACATTGCACCAGAGACAGTAGTTTTTATGTCTTTTTTTTTTTTTGTAAGCATAAAGATTAGTTAAATCCACGAACACTATATATTTTCTAAAAGTAGAGCTCATGGAGAATAAAATAGTGGTAGTTTCAAATTTTTGTCACATAATATTTGTACAGTGGTTAATCAAGTGAACAATCAGTAAAAAAAAATACAGTACATTTAAGGAAATTTAGGGCACAAAAAACACAATATATTTCCTAGTTTTTGGTAAAATATAAAAGATGCGGTTACACCAAGTAAATGGTTATCCAGCACGTAAAGCTTTGAATGTGTTGATGACTGTAAAATGACAAACTTCGGTACCCTAAATTTTCCATAGACAACACGGTCAAAGCCACTACAGGTTATCTGTTTAGAGTTAACCATGAATAATTTACTTTTCTAGTTAAAGTAACCAACAAGTAACAGTAAAAAAACTTTATATCACATACCGTATTTTTCGCTCCATAAGACGCACCTAGGTTTTAGAGGTGAAAACCAAGAAAAAAAAATTCTAAACAAATGGACTGCAGACAGTACAGGGGATGACCAGGAGATGCGGACACAGTACAGGGGATGCCAGGAGACTGCGGACACAGTACAGGGGATGACCAGGAGACTGCGGACACAGTACAGGGGATGACCAGGAGACTGCGGACACAGTACAGGGGATGACCAGGAGACTGCGGACACAGTACAGGGGATGACCAGGAGACTGCGGACCTTTAGGGAGTAAGGGGGAGCTGGTACCTGAATTTGACAGGTACCCGCTCCCACTTCCATGGAGTTGTCCTCCCTTTAGTGTGGGCACTCGGCTGACAGCCATGTGCCCACTGCACATGCGCGAGAAGGGCTGTGCTTTGTGAATGGCTGGCGTCTTCTGGGACCTGTCGTGCCGGGCCATTCACAAAGCGCAGTGGGCACCTGGCTGTCACAGCTGCTGGCGCGGGAAGACTGTATAGCGCTGGACCGAGGAACAGGTAAGGTCTTGCTACAGAGAAGCTGAGTGGCTGGCCCGGTATTCTGAATGGTGGAAATACCAGACTGGCCGCTCCATAAGATGCTCTGACATTCCCCCCCCCCCCTTTTTTTGGAGGAAAAAAGTGCGTCTTATGGAGTGAAAAATACGGTAATTTTATAATATTTTAAGTCCGGTTCCCTTTTACTGAGATTTTATGAGCCTATTAAGCATCAGTCAGTACTAAGCAAAAATTACAATTCTAATTCAAACAGCTAAGTCCACGAGGTTGCATGCACCTGGTTGGATGTAACCCCTAGTAACATTTTAGAAGGTGGCTGAATTCCTCAAGTTCAGGTTTTGTCAAAATGAAATACATGGTCATTAACAGGCTCCTTTTTTTTCTTTTTATGGATGTGTAATGATACAATAGTACTTTGCCGCTATAGTTCTTTCTTTTCAAACATTACATAGCCTGGGACTTCTCTCGGATGTGGCAAAGTACCAAGTTGCTGCAGACATTTCACAGATTCTGGATCTTGGTATGTTGATTATACAGCATTCTTTCCATTGCATGAACTGTAATTGCTGATGGTTAGTGTTAAAGGGTACATTTTACCTTCCAAACATTTTAGTCTGGATTTTCACAGTGTTGATTTAAATGTTTCCAGAGAGTCCTGCTAAAAGGAACAGGCATCGGGCTGGATCAGAAAAGGGCTTTGCTAACGCGGATCATATTAAAAGTGCAATGGAACAAGAGCTGAAGTCAGAGAGGACAGGGGAAAGTCGAAGCATGGCATTCGCTCTTATGCCCCTGTATGCCGTGGGAGTGGCACTTTTTGCAGCTTACAAATTTACTAAAGTAAGTATCTGAATAATGATTTGGACAGGTAGGATGCTGTAAATGAAAAATAAAACATACATAGACACATTTACAATGTCCATGGGTTTGATCAGTCACTCCCTGTCATGATACCGCTGTGGATCTGCCTTTGCATTGAAGAAGCTGTTTCCCTTTTTGTAGAGCGGTGACACTGGCTGTTGTACATCTGTGGGCCCTACAACATTCCTTCGGTGCTGATCAGATGCATACTCACACATTTGTAACCCAGGATTGGGATAAACGTGCATTCCAGCACTTTTGTTTAGGCAAGTGGCTGTAGGGAAGATGAACTCCATATGGCTTCCCCCTTGTAAATTGTGCATGTCAGATCCACTAGAGGCCCAGCAACAGCATAACCCTTGGGCACGAGCACTTGGAGTTTGTGGTCAACAGCCAGAACAGGTGGTTGGGTTCCTGTATGTTGTAGCTGTTGGTATGTAGTATACACATATTTTAGGAGTTGAAAAGGAAAGTGGGCATGATTAAAAATTAACTGTCACTGGATTTAACACAGCAGTCTTTGTTTTTCTAAGTCTCCCATGTAAACGAGTTTTATTACCAGTCAAAAGCAAAAGTGTGAGTAACAGGTTGGAAAATACCTATAACACTGAATGGAATGCTTCCCACAGTCAGTTTTTATTCATTTGGTAATAACATTTTTAGCTGCAAATGCTTAAAAAAAAAAAAAAAATGTTCGGGCTCATTCACACTGTTGCATTGCAGTACATGTTAGCGCACAAAGCAGGGTGCAGTGCGTTGCTTTTCATTTTAAATTGCACCCCCCCCAAACATCTTCAGAATGGGTTACAGTTTTATATGGTACAGAAAATAGAGCAGGAGCATTTTTTTTCCTGAGCTGGGGGCCCAATCAGGCAAGAGTTGGGCTTTATTTGTATGTCTCTCACCTAGGTTCCATCTAAGACTGCACTGGGGAGGAAACCGTGGCTTTAAAAATGCACCTAAAGTTGCATTTTTGCATGTGTGTTTATGTGCATGTTTGACAGTAATGCATTCTGTTGGCAAGAATAATAATTTATTCAGCTACTTGAATGCCTGCATGCGTCTAGCAGTAAAACACGTTTATGTGCACTTGGTGCTTTTTTTTTTTTTTTTTTTTTTTATCCTTCCTAACTCTCTTCTGCTGAACATGCAAGTGATTTTTTTTTTTTTTTTACTGCCTTTAAACGCCTATGTGTGCACACAGGTAGGCTAATATAGAGGGGCATTTAGAGGCAGGAAAAAGTCAAATGCCTGTAAAAGCAGCGTTTTTGACATCCTGTGTGCATGAAGCCTTTAGTTTGCTTTCTTCCTACTGATCACTAATGTTAGGGGCTTTTTTTTTTTATCATTGCCCCGATAAATTGGCTTTAGTAAGGATTCCCCAATACCTGAAAATTATTTTAGGGGTTTCTCTGGGGTAAAAAGGTTAGAAAAGGCTGGTATGTCTTCTATTTGTAGAAAAGCCATTCCCCGGAACTGACAATACATAGGACTGGAGGCAGCCTCAGTGGAATGTAAAATGGTCTGCCAGTAGTCCAGTTATTTATCTGTAAATATCGAGTAACTCTGGCACACAGGAGTAAAGTAGTATATGGGTGAAAAGGATAAAAAATAGTAAGTAAAAGATAATGGCAATATTGGCATACAGGTACTTTAAAACAGGGTATATAAGAGCATTGTTGTACCATAAGCCTTTTAAGAGTCTCTCAGGAAATCTGCCTAGAATCTTTTTAGCACAAAAAGATGGCAGCCATCCTTGTAGCAAGCCAGGTCTGTATGCAGGGACAGAAGAAAAGAGACAGGAGGCGCCATCTGAGTGTAGTAATAACACTGTATTTAATAGCAAAGGAGTAAAAACACTCACAATGGAAGTAATAAAATAAGCTCATCTGTGTATATGAGAGATGACCGTTTCTCAAAATATTCTTCATAATTTTCTGTTTTATGGTTCAGTGCTCTCTTTTTATTATTTATTTTTTTATAGCTTTGTGCTTTGAGATCATGTTCCACATTTGATATGCGTTTTTTCCATGTTACTGTGTCTTTAAATCTCTGCTGAGCACGGTTGTTCCACGCCTGACAGTGTCCTCTATTTAAAGCAGAGCTCCACCCAAAAGGGGAGGTTCCGCTTTAAGCCTTTGTGCCCTGCTCCCCATTAAGGATTGACACCTTTGGGGATTGGGGGGTACCCGAATTTGACAGTTACCCACTCCCACTTTCGCTGCGATCACCTAGGCCAGGGGTAGGCAACCTGCGGCTCTCCTCTGCAAGTCAAAGCTGTAACTGTTAATTTTGCAATGTCTCATGGGAAATGTAGTTCCACAACAGTTAGAGAGCCGCAGGTTGCCTACCCCTGACCTAGGCGATCGGAAGTGGAAGTTGTCCTCCCCGTAGTCTTCTGGGACACGTGACGGGTCCCAAAAGACTACGGGGCCATTCACAAAGTGCAGCGCTTCTCGCGCGTGCGCAATGGGAACCCAGCTGTGAAGTCGCAAGCTGTCACAGCCGGGTGACCACACTGAAGATGCCGGCGCCAGGGAGAGAAAACAGTTGGTGAAGCCAGCGGTGGTGAGGACAACGCGGGACCAAGGGACAGATAAGTGTTTGTATTTTAAGAGTCAGCAGCTACAGTTTTTGTAGCTTCTGACTTTTCTATTTTTTTTTTTTTTTTTCAGGTGGAACTCTGCTTTAAGCTACTACTTTCCCAAGGTCTACCAGGTCAATAAAAGGAGCTAGAGGCTCCGAGTGCGTAGCCTGACTGTCCCATGTTCCTCCCCACTGACCCTCCTCCTCTTCCTGTGATGTCACATCCTGCCGGTGTGCTCCAGGCTGGTTACTAGGCTCCTGGTTGGCTCTACAACACCACCACTCTGCAGGATTGACCACTACAGTGTCTCTCACCATCTCCATCAGCCCAGCTGCTATTGCACCAACCACCAGTGGTGCCTGCAGGACGTTTTGAGGAACGGTCATCTCTAATGTACACAGATGAGCTTATTTTATTACTTCTTTTGTGAGTGTTTTTAGTCCTTTGCTATTAAATACAGTGTTATTACTACTCTCAGACGGGCGCCTCCTGTCTCTTTTCTTCCGTCTCAGTTATTTATCTATAGATTATTCTGAGGACACAGTCCGATACCTGTATAAAGAAAAAAAAAAGTACATTGAAGTGAATAGATTAGACAGACCAGTTTATTCAGAGAAAATTCTAAAGTGATTGAAGGAGCTGCAAACTAGTTGGAAGCAATCATATCTTCCAGTGTCCCTTTTCCATTGACATTTGGATAGTCGGTGTAGGCTGCAGTGAGTTGGGTGATTTGGGAGGCCTAGATTTGTGTTTGATAGGTAGTGGAAGTGCAATTAGAGTAATGTGGCCTGGCTGTAACAATATTGTTTGAACTAAATGTGAGGAAAGGGCATGCATCTTGTTAGCTGCAGAAAATTACAGAGCATGTAAGATGCATTCAGTCCCTGTAATAGTCTTCACCTGAATGAAAGCTTTAACTACCTAATACCTAATGAAATGTAATAAACCTCATCTTGGAGTGTTCATGATAATCATTCTTGAATCATTATTGAAGTCTAGAAGGGTTAGAAACTGAACTTTATAGCTCTAATAAGTGTAAATTATTTAGCAAATATGCCACTTTGTAAAAGGCTGCTTTTAGTGCTTCAGAACATTGGTTACTGTTTCTTCCATTTACTCTGACATAGTTTCACTCCCTGGCGAGGAATGTGTGCATATCCAGAACTGCACTGGTCTTTTTTGACTATATGGGGTTTATTTCGTAAAGCTGGAGAGTTCAAAATCAGGCTTACTTTTGCATAGGAACCAATCAGCTTCCAGGTTTTAATGCCAAAATTTAATTAAACTAGCTGAAGTTAGAAGCTGATTGGCTACCATGCACAGCTGCACCAGATTCTGAGTGCTCCAGTTTTAGTAAATCTACCCCTATGTGTCATCCTTTTTACTGTCCTTTGGTCACCTGCCAGTTTAAGAACCTTTACCAAATGGTATGCCTGGTAGTACTAGGGGTCATAAAACCTACTTTTCCTTACATTTACAAATGAATACTTAAAGAAAAGGTATTCTCCCACCAATATCATAGATAATGTGTACAACATAGTTCTAATTTCAGTTCTTATGTTAATACAAAAAGCGCTTAAGCATATTTGGATTAGGGTAGGTGTGCTTCATTTAACCACTTCCAGGCAAGACACTTTTACCCCCTTCCTGTGCAGGCCAACTTTCAGCTTTCAGCGCTATCACACTTTGAATGCCAATTGCGCGCTCATGCAACACTGTACCCATATGATTTTTTTGCATTTTTTTTGAGACAGATAAAGCTTTATCTTGGTGATATTTATTCACCACTGGGATCTTTATTTTTTTGCTATATAAATGAAAAAGTCCAAAAAAAAATGTATTTGCAAAATTTTATAAAACACTTTTTTTCTTATAAAATTTTGCAAATAAATAATATTTTATCATAAATCTTGGCCAACATTTATTCAGTTATCTATATAGTAAAAAAAAAATAACCCAAATTAGTTTATAACCAAAACTTTTTTAAACTTTTTTTTTTTTTTTACATTTTTATTTTATTTATTTTATATTTTCTTCTACATACTGTCACCCTAGCAGTACAGTGGTGACACTGTACTACTTGTTGGGGGGGGGGGTTTTTTTTTTTTTTTTTTTTTTTTTTACACTGATTGCTTTTACACCCATAAAGGCTGTAAAAAGCAATCATTTCTCCTGCTCTCTGGCTGCATTCTTGCAGCCATTGAGAACTACTGTGTGAGCTGTGATTGGTCACGGCTTGTCACATGGTACAAGGCTGTTGTGAATAGCCTTGTACCATGTGACCTCTGTGATCATTCAGAGATTTCACACGTAGTAAGCAATGATGTCAGAAGTGACATATTGCTTACTACTCTGCATGTGATCACATGATCGAGACCTCGCACAGAGGTCCCGTACGACAATCTGTGTTCCACTGTGTCCGGAGGACACAGCGGGCACTGGATCGCAGTGCTGCGCGCTCCCAGGGAGCACACACAGTCCATAATGGCGGTTGCCCTTTTTATGAACGGTAACCCGCCCCTGGAGTGCCACCGTCCTTTCCGTTTATAAACAGCGGCCAGACGGCAAGTGGTTAAAGGCTACGTTCACCTTAATAATCAATGCACATATTGTTTACAGGTAAAAAAAAAAATGTGCATTTATTTATTTTAATTAGGAGCCTGCAACTGCTATCAGCAGACTGGATGCCGTATCAGGCTCTTGCAGACTGTCAGTGTAGCTTTCTGCCTGTACTCCATATGGACAGGCAGTTACTGAATGGCAGGAAGAATCCATGATCTTCTAGAATTCTCACCAGTACCCTCATAGTTCATTGAGAGCTACAAGCTGTCAGTCACAGTTGGCGGTAGTTGTAGTTCTCTCATTCACAGAACTCTGTAAATGAATAAGGCAGTCGTGTGGGTGGAGCCCCGCATGGCCACACTGTTTTAAAATTGTGCACAGGGAAAAGATCCAGAGAGTGCTGCGGATGGGGGCTGCTTATTTAAAATATAGTATTTTACACTCTGATTACAGGTGCAATATGTTATGAAAGGTGAACTTATCCTTTAAATTTGACATGCCTACTATGACCAATCATAACTGCTCCCAGTAACAAAGATGAGGACATCCGCCTAGCTTCGTAATCATTTTGTAAATACTGTAAATCTTCATAATGAAAGATGTATTTTATACTTCAAGTGGGATTTAGAATGCTGTGGTGTTTTTTTTTTTTTTTTTTTTTTTGTTTTTTTGTTTTTTTTTTTTTTTTTTTAGCATACAGAGCACATGAAACTGTGCAGATAAGATGGATGTGAGCCTATGGACATTAGATTTTTTTTGTGTTTTTAGTGTCTTTTAGCCAGCTTAAAACAAGTAGAATGTTTTCAATCACTATTTTGTTAAAACTACCATAATGAAATGTATATCTTGTTAACTAAATTAAACTATAAGAAGATATTAAGATCATGTTTACTTAGGAGGCCCGAGTGTATTGTTGACTTCATGCCAAGATCTGCCCCTGCTACTGTCCAGTGCTCTTCAAATTACCCTTCACCTTCTGGCAAGATGAGATATTCTAAAAACTTCCGTTCTGTCACTCCCAAGCCTGATAAAGTTGTGTTCTACAAGAGACGATGACTTTTGTGATGTGTATTAGCCCGATAGCAACTGTAAAAGCTCTCAGGTGTGTCTCTGAATGTTCAGAATGTGCAATGTTATTTATCTTCCTCTGTTCTGAAAAGCATAAATCAAAAGAGGTTCTTATTTAGCGTGAGCAATGGTATAAATATATGAACACTCTAGAAACTGCCACTTTTCTTAAAAGATGTGTTTTGGAATAGCAGTTGATCAATAGGGTAAGTTAAAGTGGACCTTTACCCATAACAGCTTGAGAGAGAATGTTATTTAGCAAAGAATATACACTGCTCAAAACAATTTAAAGGAACACTTTGAAAAACACATCAGATCTCAATGGGGAAAAATGTCATGCTGGATATCTATACTGATATGGACTGGGTATTGCCCCATCGTTTGATAGAAATGAAAATGATCAAACTACAGAAGACTGAATTCAAAGACACTCCGAAAATCAAAGTGAAAAAATTATGCAGCCGGCTAGTCCATTTTGCTGAAATTTCATTGCAGCAACTCAGAATGGTACTGAGTAGTTTGTATGGCCCCCACGTGCTTGTATGCATGACTGACAACGTCAGGGCTCCTAATGAGACGACAGGTGGTGTCCTGGGGTATTTCCTCCCAGATCTGGACCAGGGCATCACTGAGCTCCTGGACAGTCTGAGGTGTAACCTGGTGGTGTCAGATGGACTGAAACATGATATCTCAGAGGTATTGGATTTAGGTCAGGCAAGCATGGGGGCCATTCAATGGTATCAATTCCTTCATCCTCCAGGAACTGCCTGCACACTTTCTCCAGGTAAGGCCGTGCATTGTTGTGCGCCAGGAGGAACCCAGGATCCACTGCACCAGCGTAGGGTCTGACAATGGGTCCAAGGATTTCATCCCGAGGCCTAATAGCAGTCAGGATGCCATTGTCTAGCATGTAGAGGTCTGTGCATCCCTCCATGGATATGCCTCCCCAGACCATCACTGACCCACCATTAAAGCGGTCATGCTTAACAATGTTACAGGCAGCATAATAATAGCTTCTCCAGACCCTTTCATGTCTGTCACATGTGCTCAGGGTGAACTTGCTCTCATCTGTGAAAAGCACAGGGCGCAGTGGCGGACCTGTCAATTCTGGTGTTCAATGGCAAATGCCAATCAAGCTCTGTGGTGCCGGGCAGTGAGCACAGGGCCCACTAGAGGACAGTGGGCCCTCAGGCCACCCCCATGAAGTCTGTTTCTGATTGGTCAGAGACCTTCACACTAGTGGCCTGCTGGAGGTCATTTTGTAGGACTCTGGTAGTGCTCATCCTGTTCCTCCTTGCACAAAGGAGCAGATACCAGACCTGCTGTTGGGTTAAGGACCTTCTACGGCCCTGTCCAGCTCTCCTAGAATAACTGCCTGTCCCCTGGAATCTCCTCCATGCTCTTGAGACTGTGCTTGGAGAAATGGCAAACTTTCTGGCAATGGCTTGTATTGATGTGCCATCTTGGAAGAGTTGGACTGCCTGTGCAACCTCTATAGGGTCCAGGTATCGCCTCATGCTACCAGTAGTAGCACTGACCCTAGCCAAATGCAAAACTAGTGAAAAACAGTCAGAAAAGATAAGTAGGAAAAAAAATGTTAGTGGCCTCCACCTGTGAAGCCATTCCTGTTTGGGTGTCGTCTCATTGTTGCCCATCTAGTGCACCTGTTGGTAATTTAATTAACACCAAAGCAGCTGAAACTGATTAACAACCCCCTCTGCTACTTAACTGGCTAGATCGATACCCTACGAGTTTAATTGCCTTGATGCTATACTTTGGTTAAAAAGTGTCCCTTTAATTTTTTTGGAGCAGTGTACATTCCAAGTTAATTATGCTACCAAAATTAGTGTGAGCTGTAAATTGGCTCCAGCATGGTTCCTGTTCCTTCTTGCCGGAAGCTTCCATTTTGCTGAAGCCCAGAGCTTCTGAGCAGCAGTAAATCTTTAGCTGTCAGCAGATCGGCCTCTACATTCTTGGCGCAGTGCTGGAAAATAGGGAGCAACTGAGCATGTGCAGAGTAGGTTGAGACCGTGTATTACTGGATTTTAAGTGTCGGCACTTTTTAATGTTTTACAAAGCTATACATGCAAAAGGGGCCAGCCTAAAGTGATCTAGCAGGACTTTTTTGACTAAAGTTCCTCTTTAGGTTAATATTTATTTTTCATTTTGCTTTTATCCCCATTAAGATTAAATCAAATGAAAACAGTAGATCTAAATCACAGGATGAAGAAGCTAAAAAGGCAAAAGAGACAGGTATGTACTTTAAATGTTACCTGTTCTACACACAAGGATTCTTTGATTAACAAACCACATCATGTTTGCTTAACTGTTTGATTAGCACTTTAAGGCAGCTACATGGCTGCCATCACTTGTAGAGCCTCCATGTCCATCTTCATGCCAAAGGAATTGCGGCATTTACAACCAGTGATAGCTTGAAGAGTCCTTTGGAGCATTCTTTGAAGCCCTAACCTCTGCAAGCTTTTTGGGTAGAGTAGGGGGTGGTATTTATTGCTGTCTGTGTCCTTATTGACAAAATTCCCCTCACTTGCTTGGCCCATTGGTACAGGATACGATGGGAATTCTGTCCAGTGGGCCACAGCATCAAAACTACTTTTTTTATTAGAGTAGAGAAGTGCCAGAACACCTGTCGGGTTTTCCTTTTTGCATGTTTTCATTAGGGAGATTACACCTGTAGCTGCTCACTACATATACAGGTACTGCAGTGGTTGTACCTTACTGGTTTTTCTTACAATTCAAGTTTTATGAGTTGGGAAAAAAATGCACTTACTATTAGACTGATATTTGATCTCAATGGTTGTCAATAGGAAGAGTAATTACATTATACCACTGAATATGACTCCTCTTGTGTTTAACCACTTAAGTTCCTGGAAGGTTTTACCCCCTTCTTGACCAAGCCATTTTTTTCTATTCAGCACTGTGCTATTTTAACTGGCAATAGTGCGGTCATGCAACACTATACCCAGATTAAAATTTATATAATTTGTTTATGCATAGAGCTTTCTTTTGGCGGTATTTGATTACCATTGGGCTTTTTTATTATTAAAAAAAAAAAAAAAAAAAAACATTTGGAAAAAAAAAAACTTTTTTTACTTTCTGCTATAAAACATATCCAATAAATAAAAATCTAATTTCTTCATAAATTTAGGCCAAATGTATTTTACTACATTTTGTTTGGTAAAAAACATTACCAATAAGTATATTAATTTGTGTAAAAAGTATATAGTCAACAAATGATGGTGTGTATATATGCTGAAATGTATTTATTTTTTTAATACTAGTAATGGCAGTCATCCGCAGCACTATATGTTTGCTGAATTCAATCTGACACTGACACTTTAATCAAGGGCTTGTGTGCCTAGCAAGTGTTAATGTATGTAATGTGTGCTGCTTTTTTACTAAAGATTGCTTTGTTTCTTCTGCCTGGAACCCGGAAAAAAGCTGCAACTTACAGGTACGTTAGTGTGCCTGTACTAGCCACCCGTCCACAATATACACACTGCTCAAAAAATGAAAGGAACAGTTTGAAAACACATCAGGTCTCAATGGTGAAAAATCTCACGATGGATATCTATACAGATATGGACTGGGTAATGTGTTAGGAACATAAAGATGTCCCATCGTTTGATAGAAATGAAACTGATCAACCTACAGAGGACTGAATTCAAAGACCCCCCCAAAAATCAAAGTGAAAAAATGATGCAGCAGGCTAGTCCATTTTGCTGATCATTGCAGAAACTCCAAATGGTACTCAGTAGTTTGTATGGCCCCCATGTGCTTGTATGCATGTCTGACAATGTCAGGGCATGCTCCTAATGAGATGATGGATGGTGTCCTGGGGTATTTCCTCACAGATCTGGACCAGGGCATCACTGAGCTCCTGGACAGTCTGAGGTGCAACCTGGCGGCGTCAGATGGACCGAAACATGATATCCCAGAGGTGTTCTATTGGATTTACAGTTGCAAGAAATAGTATGTGAACCCCTTGGGATTACGTAATTTTGCATCAATTGGGCATAAAATGTGCTCTGAACGTCACCTAATCACAACAATAGAAGAACACAGTCTGCTGAACATAATACTACACAAACATTAGATGTTGTCATGGTTTAATTGCACATAACATGTAAACATTCACAGTGCAGAGAGGAAAAAGTATGTGAACCTTTGGACTTAATAACTGGTTGACCCTCCTTTGGCATCAATAACCTCAACCAAACGTTTCCTGTAGTTGCAGATCAGACCTGCACAACGATCTGGAGTAATTTTGGACCACTCCTCTTCACAAAACTGTTTCAGTGTAGCAATATTCTTGGGATGTCTGGTGTGACTCGCTCTCTTAAGGTCATGCCACAGCATTTCAATCGGGTTGAGGTCAGGACTCTGACTGGGCCACTCCAGAAGGCGTATTCTGTGCTGTTGCAGCCATTGTTTTTTTTTTTTAATTACTTGTATGCTTTGGGTCATTGTCCTGTTGCATCACCCATCCTCTGCGGAGCTTCAGTTGGCGGACAGATGGTCGTACGTTTTCCTGCAAAATGTCTTGATAAACTCTGGAATTCATTTTCCCATCAATGACAACAATCCGTCCAGGCCCTGAGGCAGCAAAGCAGACCCAAACCATGATGCTCCCTCCGCCATGTTTTACAGTGGGGATGAGGTTTTGATGTTGGTGTGCTGTGCCTTTTTTTCTCCACACATAGTGTTGTGTGTTCTTCCCAAACAACTCAATCTTGGTTTCATCTGTCCACAGTATATTTTGCCAGTAGTGCTGTGGAACATCCAGGTGCTCTTTTGCAAACTTCAAACGTGCTGCAATATTCTTTTTGGACAGCAATGGCTTCCTCCGTGGTGTCCTCCCATGTACTCCATTCTTGTTTAATGTTTTCCTTATTGTAGATGTGTCAACAAAAATGTTAGCATGTGCCAGAGATTTCTGTAGGTCTTTAGCTGACACTCTGGGATTCTTCTTTACCTCATGCAGCATTCTACGCTATGCTCTTGCAGTCATTTTTACAGGACGACCATGCCTAGGGAGAGTAGCAACAGTGCTAAACTTTCTCCATTTGTAGACAGTCTGTCTTACTGTGGACACATGAACATCAAGGCTTTTGGAGATACTTTTGTAACCCTTTCCAGCTTCATGCAAGTCAACAATTCTTGATCGTAGGTCTTCTGAGAGCTCTTTTCTGTGAGGCATGGTTCACATCAGACAGTGCTTCTTGAAACCAGTACACCCAAAACAGGTGTGTGTTTTTTAAGGGCAGGACAGCTGTCAGCAACACATCCAATATCATCACACTGATTGGAGTCAAGGTTGGCTCACTCCTGGCTCCAATTAGCTCTGGGAGAAGTCATTAAGCTAGGGCCTCACATACTTTTTCCTCCCTGCACTGTGAATGTTTACATGTTATGTGCAATTAAACCATGGCAACATCTAATGTTTGTGTAGTATTATGTTCCGCAGCCTGTGTTCTTCTATTGTTGTGACTTAGATGACGTTCAGAGCACATTTTATGCCCAATTCATGCAAAACTCCACGTAATCCCAAGGGGTTCACATACTTTTTCTTGCAACTGTAGGTCAAGCGAGCATGGGGGTCATTCAATGGTATCAATTCTTTCATCCTCTAGGAACTGCCTGCATACTCTCGTCACATGAGGCCGGGCATTGCCGTGCACCAGGAGAAACCCAGGACCCACTGCACCACCGCAGGGTCTGACAATGGGTCCAATGATTTCATCCTGATACCGAATAGCACTCAGAATGCCATTGTCTAGCCTGTAGAGGTCTGTGCGTCCCTCCATGGATATGTCTCCCCAGACCATCACTGACCCACCACAAAAAACGGTCATGCTGAATGATGTTACAGGCAGCATAACGTTCTCCACAGCTTCTCCAGACCCTCTCACGTCTGTCACATGTGCTCAGGGTGAACCTGCTCTCATCTGTGAAAAGCACAGGGCACCAGTGGCAGACCTGCCAATTCTGGTTTTCAATGGCAAATGCCAATTAAGTTCTATGGTGCCGGGCAGTGAGCACAGGGCCCACTAGAGGACAGCGGGCCCTCAAACCACCCTCCATGAAGTCTGTTTCTGATTGTTTGGTCAGAGACCTTCACACCAGTGGCCTGCTGGAGGTACTTTAGTAGGGCTTTGGCAGTGCCCATCCTGTTTCTCTTTGCACAAAGAAGCAGATACCAGTCCTGTTGATGGGTTGAGGACCTTCTATGGCCCTGTCCAGCTCTTCTAGAATAACTGCCTGTCTCCTGGAATCTCCTCCCTGCTCCTGAGACTGTACTGGGAGACACAGCAAACTTTCTGGCAATGGCACGTATTGATGTGCCATCCTGGAGGAGTTGGATTGCCTGTGCAGGGTCCAGGTATCTCCTCATGCTACCAGTAGTGACACTTTCACTAGTTTTGCAAGTGGCTAGAGTCAAACAGTCAGAAAAGATAAGTAGGGAAAAAAATGTCATTGGCTTCCACCTGTAAAACCATTCCTGTTTTGGGGTCATCTCATTGTTGCTCATCTAGTGCCCCTGTTGTTAATTTCATTAACACCCAAGCAGCTGAAACTGATTAACAACCCCCTCTGCTACTTAACTGACCAGATCAATATCCCAGGAGTTTAATTGACTTGATGCTATTCTCTGATTAAAAGTGTTGCTTTTATTTTTTATGAGCAGTGTACACACTAAAAATCTCCTTATTTAATACAATAGCAAAACTATGAAAGAGCAAGCTTAGAAAGACATGAAAATCTTATAAAAATAACTTTAAGGTAAACACTGCAGTAATAGCTCATACTTCCATTTGTTTGCCTTCCCTTTTTAACATTCTTTACTTTTTTTTTTTTTTTTTTTTTTTGTGGCGGGGGGATGTAACAGGTACCTGGTTTGACAGGTACCTGCTCCCACTTCCCCGTGGAGTGCCTAGGTGATCCGAATGGAAGTTCATCCCCCAGATCTTTGTCTGCAGCCTTCTGGTACACATCACGGGTCCCAGAAGACTGCGGGACGATTCACAAAACAAAATGCAGCTCGCGAATGTGCAGTTCATGCATGCGCAGTCAGATGTAAAGCTGCAAGACTTCATAGCCTGTTTCCCTTAGTTAAGATGCCAGTGCGTGGACCAAAAGCCCATTGAAGAATCGGCTCGGGTGAGGACAGCACCCAATCCCTGACAGGTGACTGTCCTTAAATTAAAAGTCAGCAGCTGCTGTATTTGTAGCTGCTGACTTTTAATTTTTTTTTGGGGGGTAGACCAAAGCTCCTCTTTAAGGCAGAATCATCCATCCTGTCAATTTATCTGTCTGAACAGCAACCCTTCTTTTTTGCAGCGACCATGCGGTCATCAGCACTATAGAGATGAATATTGTATTTACATTTTGTTATTTCTTGGGAGTATTATTCTTTCATTTTAAAAATGTTAATTATGGTATATATAATGTATGAAAGCTTTTTATCTATTAAATAATTTTCAGAGAATCAGCTTATGGAGCTAGAACAACACCTTTCACAAACCGAGCAAATGTTAAATTCTGTACTCAAACAACTGGACCCACTATCCAATTGGTAAGTACAGCATACTCAATTCTACATTATAGCAATCTTTGATCATCCCTGTTGTAATAAAAACTACTGAGAAAAGCAGTGAGCCAATAATATGCGCCTTAAAATGACATATGTGGGGACCTCGATGCACAGCATTGCCAAGAAAAGATAATTTTTGATAAAGTGTATCTCTAGGCAAAACCTTTTCACTTTTGATACAGTGGGGGAAGGGTTACATTTTTAATTGCTGTCTGCATCCCCACTGGAGAAATTCACCTTTTGTTTTGTACTGGTGACCAATGTCACCAAAATAGAAAGTGAGAGAAAATCCAGCATTTCGATTTGTCCCCAGAGCAAGAAGTGAAAGGAAATACTTCACTTTAGGAGATCTCCACTATATTTCCATTGTGACCGAAGAAAATGAAGGGAAAATTCCCCAGTACTACTTGGTAAACAATAACTTGTCAGTAGGTTTAACCCTTCCTAGCCAAAAAAGAAAAAAGTTTTGGCTATATAGTGGGTATTGAAAAGAATTGCGCCCCTTTTTTTAAAATATTTTCATTTTGTTGCTTTGCAGCCTGAAATTGAAGGCACAGATCTTTTTTGTTTTGTTTTTTATCCAGTTGTATTTACTCAGCGCAACTTCTAGCATCCAAGTGAAAGATATAACACTAGCATTTCAGGGTGAAAAAACTTCAAAAACAGAATCTCCAAGTTGGAAAAAGGATTACCCCCCCCCCTCTTAAAAATGACTTGTAAACTGTCATGTGTAGTTAATAACCTCATTGGCACACAGTCATTTGACTTTCAACTGTGATCAGCTATGGTCATTTTGATTAGCAAGAAAAGAGCTTTTCCTGGTGCATTTCAGTCCCTGGTAGTGCAACTGAAGCAAGCAATTTAACTATAGGTGGTAAGGCACTGTCAAAAGATCTCGGGACAAAGTTGTGGACGGGCACAAGTCAGGAGATGGATACAAGAAAATATCAAGGGCTTTATTAATACCTAGATGCACAATGAAGTCTATTATTAAGAAGTGGAAGGTATTTGGTACAACACAGACCTTCCCTGGATCAGGACGTCGCTCTAAACTGGATAAAAGAGCCAGGAGGAAACTGGTCAGAGAGGCTATCAATAGGCCTACGGCAACTCTTACAAGTTGTTGCAATTTATGAAAAGAGTGGTCATCATGTTCATGTGACAACAATGTCACACATTCTCCATAACTGCGGCATGTATGAGAGGGTTGCAGGAAAAGAGCCACTCCTCAAGAAAGGACACAGGCAGTGTGGAAACCGGTGTTATGGTTAGATGAAACCTAAACTGAACTATTTGGCCTCAACACTAAACCATTTGTCTGGCAGAAATCCAATACAGCTCACTATCAATAATAACACCATTCCTACAGTATAACATGGAGGTGATAAATATCCTGTTATGGGGGTTTCTCTGCAGCAGAGACGGGAGAACTTGTCAGCATAGAAGGAAAAATGGATGGAGCAAAATACCATCACATTCTTGAGGAGAATCTGCTGCCCTCTGCCAGAAAGTTGTCAGTGGGATGAAGATTTACCTTCCAACATGACAATGACCCAAAGCACACCATAAAATGACCAAACACAGTAGTTGAAGGAGAAAAAGGTGAATGTCCTTGCATGGCCTAGTCAGAACCCATACTTAAACTCCATGGTGGACTGCAGTCTTCAAATCATTCCACAGATTTTCAAACGGTCACCATCAAATTTAACTGAACTTGAGCAGCTCTCCAAAAAAGAGTGGGCAAATATTGCAAAGTCTGGATGTGCAAAGTTAGTAGAGACATATCCCAACAGACTAAAGGCTGTAGTTAAAGCAGTAGGTGGTTCAACAAAATGACACAAGGAGGTGATCTTTTTTCCAACTCAGTGATTCTGTTTTTGACTTTTTTTTTTTTTTTTCTGACATGTTGGTGTTGTATCGTTCACTTAGATGGTATAAGTTGCACCGAGTAAATACAGCTTGATAAAACAAACAGTGTCTGTCTTCACTTCAGGCTGCAAAGCAACCAAATGTGATTATTTTAAAGTGGGTGATTCTTTTCTATACCCACAGTGCATACACTTTTGTGAAGCAGATGGCTATATCAGCAACTTTAGCCAGGTCTTGTGCCTCTCTGCAGTCTCCACTGTATATAGGCAATTCAGATCCAGGAACCAATCCACTCACTAATTGTACAAAGACAGCATTGGCTGGAGGCAATAATAGCTTACTAAATGCTTTATGGCGGGAATTATTTAATGTAAAAGTCAGATTAATGAATATACTGTAGCTTTTTATTTTTTGCTGTGATTCAATATTCAGTACTTGGTACATTTGCCTATGACTGATCTGGACTAAGCTGGGACTTGGCCTCATCTCTCTTGGGCATAGACGGCTGCAGGTACAGTCACATTTACTGCTACATTCTCATGCAGCAGGGTGGTAGACCGTTTATTTGTTGAGTGAAGGGGGTGAGGGGTTCAGCTTTCCCAAATAATGACATAGTTTATTAAGCTGACGACCCAAGATTTGAAAAAATTAACCTGCTAAGATAGCAAGGACTAACTCATATAGATAGGTAGAACCTTACGGGTAGACACCATCTTTACCAGTCTGAAAACGCTCTTCTATGCATTTCTCTGATGAAACTTTACTTTGTTACTAAGGCCTTACTTTCCCTTGCTTCATGGCCAACTGTCATCCTAGTGCCCAGTGGACACAAGAATGGCACCAGGAAGCGCTTAGCCATGAAGTTAGAGAAAGCAAAACCTCAGTATGAAAGGAAACTAAATCAGAGAGGGGCATAAAGAATGTGTTTCTGGCATCCTGTGGCATCATCTCAAAGTTTCACTAAAGGCAAAACTTTTTTTCCTTTTTGGATAGAATAACGGATGGTTATAACCCCTGTCAGATTTTTTTTTTTTTCCTTTTTTCCCCATCTGTGTCCCATTGCAGAGATTTCCCTTCTTTTCCTGTCCCATAGCCAATACAGGAAGTGAGAGGAAATCCCTGCAAAGTTAGTGAATCTCAGGGTGTCACCAGAACTCACTGAAACATTTCTCTTCTTTCCTCTTCTGATGTTAACCCAGAATTTGTATTTTTTTTATTTACTTTCTGCAATAATGGTAAGCAGAACAAAGAGGGGCTGAATCTCCCTCAGGCTAGGTTGACACCTATGCAGGTTGAATTTTACCAGTTTCTGCATTGCATTTTGCATCTCTGCACCTGCGTTTTTGCCTTGTTTTTGTTGCATTTTTTTTTTTTTCTTGTTGCTAGGCAGATTTAAAATGCAGCAAAAACGAAATACATGCTTTTCTGCAGAAAACACTTAGGTGTGAACCTACGGTAACAGGGAGAATAAACCGCAATAAAAACTGACAGATGTTATAATCCCTGTCCTCTATATCCAACACTAAAAAAAATGTTTGCCTTTAGTGACACTTTAAGATGCAGTTTTTGCTTCAGATCTTTAATTCCTTGGCGCCGACAGTACGCATATATGTGGCCTTTTGGGCAGTGGGGCTTAATGCAGAGAGGCCACATATACATGCATACTAAAATATAAACACCACTGTCTGAGAGTTCACACCTTGTGTGTTCCCGACAGTTATCCATGGCTAACGGAAAGCCCCTGATTACTACTTGCGATTGGGAGCTTTCTGATCAAGTGACTGCCAATCATGGTGGTCATGTGATCATAAGCTCTGCCTCCCAGCTTCTGAAACACCTTAAAGGCTTGGGAGGTGCCAGGGCCAAGGGGATAAAATGGAGCACATGTTCACTATAAAACCAAAAGCCATCATTGAATAAGGCCACGAGAAATAGAGTGCTGTTTGGTAGCCATGGGCAAGGGCCCCACATTTATACTGTGTATTACAATACAGGTGTGTATAGTTGCTGCTGTTGGAATATGCCTTTTTTTCATGGGGGACCAACATGCATTTTAGTGTTCTTCTCTTTGACTTTAACATAAAACAACCTAGGAAATACTACTGAGTTAAAGTGGTAGTAAACACCATTTGGGCACTTGGTACAAGTGCTTACCTGTAATAAGCTGTATAAACTTACCTGTAGGTTATAATAAAGCTTACCTTGTAGGTACAAGGTATATCTCCTAAATGTGCACCGTTCAGGGGATATTCACAGTTTCTGCAGTTGGTGATGTCACCAGCAACTGCGCTCTGAAGGGATGGCATGAGTATGAGATCTGTGCAGTGGCCGTGACTCCCATGCGCATGCACAGGAGTGAAGTCACTGCGGCTCATCTGTTCAAATGACTAGAGCCCGCGACTCGGAATGAAGTCTGGGTGAAGTTGGAAAACCTGTCAGCTGTGACAGTGCGCCGCCGGAGGGCTTCAATTTTAAGGTAAGTCTTTCATAATGTGACATGTGATGCATACTAGCACATTATGCCATTAACTTGAAGGGAGAAGTGATGGTTTTTTTTTTTTTTTTTTTTGTGTTTTGGTTTTTTTTTCTTCAAAAGTTTACTACCACTTTAAAGAAACATTGTGTTAAACAGCCGTATGGCGAAAAAAAGCCATATAAAATACTTTTGTTGCTACTTATAAATAGAATGCTATAAATACTTAATGAAAAGTGAATACATTTACTTTTAGTGTGAATACATTGGCTGTTGAGCAGAAAAGTGAAATTATGAATCAGCTGCAATATATCAGGCAGTTAATGAAGAAAAGTGGAATGGATAAAGCATCTCTTCGTAATCCAGGTAAGCCTTTTTATCATATATTGTTTTGTTGAGAAGCACCAAAATTGATGGAGTGAACAGTGGACATCTTCATTAAATAACTACTCGCCCTCTGGCAGATTTACCCAAACCCCCCAACAGGTCATTATTTTAATGTGATATGGCACTGCGTTACTTTAACTGACAGTTGTGTGGTCAGGCAGTGCTGTACCCAAATAAAATTTATGCCATTTTTTTTTCCCCCACAAATAGAACTTTCTTTTGATGTTTTTTGATCACTGCAGTATTTTTTTTTTTTTTTTTTTTTGCGGTATAAACAAAAAGACAAATTTAAAATATTTTTTTATTTGATATAAAACATATCCAATAAAAAAAAAAATCTAATTTCTTCATAAATTTAGGATATGTATTCTGCTTCATATTTTTAGTAAAGAAAAAAAAAATCCCAATATGCGTGTATATTGAGTGGTTTGTGCACAAGTTATATTGTCTACAAATGGCAGTATATACCGGTATACTGGAATATTTATAATTTTTTTTTTTTTTTAGTGCTAGTAATAGCAGTGATTAGTGACTTATAGTGGGACTGCAATATTTTCCGGTGGGGGGCAGGGGGTTTAAAAGCATGAGTTTCTGTGGAATTTTTCAAAGGTTCCAACTGAAGTATGTTAGTTCAGCCTAGGCTATTGTGGTCTGTCATTACTTACTGTATTTTAAAATGGCTGTAATGATTGTATTAATCATAGCATTTTTTTTTTCTTCTGTAAAATCCTATAACTTCCAAAGCTAACCAAACCTGTGATAATACCCTTGAAGACCTTATTCATTCATTTGCGGCTCAACAGTCAGAGGTCCATGAAAACAATGTAGAAAGTAAAAGTGAGGAATCGCTACTCAACACGATGGACACAGATGTAACTGCACACAATCCTGTTACAGGAGAGTCATCTTTGAATGATGTTTGTGAAGGAGAAGATGGTTCTGATGCAACCCTTTCTGAAGGGTTAAGGAAGCGCAATGTCTAGTATGACACCAAAGACTATGTATTTCTTTGCCTTGTTTTGTTTTATATATCTTTTATTTGTCACTTTGTAAGTTATTCATATGCTTTATAAATTGGTGCAATAAAGCGCAAGTGCTGTTTTTCAGCATCTGAGCTAAAAAAAAACAAAAACACAATGATATTATAAAGTCTGTCAGTCTTTCAGTTTTCTTATGGCCAAGAAATGCTTTAATTGAATGTAGAGTAAGTGTGTATTTTAGTACTTTTGTGTACTGGGCATTTTAAGTTGTAAATGCTCTGGGCAACAGATTTCTCAAGCATGACTTTATAAGTTGGTATTTAAAGTAAATGTATCTTTTAATTTGTCTGAAAAAGTGCCTTGGGTTCCAAGAAACAGCCAGCTTTCTAATTGGATAGCTTGGACATGTCTCAGGGCCGATGCCTGGTCACCTCTTTCTGTTCAATGTACCTCCTTATTAGCCCATCATAATGAGTGTCCTCATTAACCTTGTTATTAGCCCATCTCTACTAGCGACTGCACTTGTGTCCTAGTTATAGCCCATCAGCCCTAGTGAGCTTTACTGACCTCATCAGTAGTCCATTGGTACTAGTGATCTTACTAGCCTATTACTATTTAGTGATAGGCTAGTAGCCTTTGGTTCTAAGAAACTCCCAGCTTTCTAATTAAATAGCTTGGATGCCCACAATTTACAGGAAACGCTGCTCTACAAATCGCTAAAAGAAGGCTGCTCTCCATAGATCCTCAGTTTTTTCAAAGTATCTCCAGCTCTACTGAAAAAAACAAATTAACACGTGCAAACATAATGTTAATAGGGGCGGCAGGAGCTGCTGTCCTGAAAGTTAAATAAAGTTACCAGTAAGTTTAACGTGGATTTTACTAAATCATCCTTCTAAACAGTAATTATTTTATTTATTTCAGGTACTTATATAGCGCCATGAATTTATGCAGCGCTTTACATATATATATATATATATATATATATATATATATATATATATATATATATATATATATACATATATACAGTCATGGCCGAAATTGTTGGCACCCTTGATATTTTTCCTGAAAATCAAGTATTTCACACAAAAAAGGTATTGCATTAACACATGTTTTGCTATACACATGTTTATTCCCTTTGTATGTATTGGAACAAATAATAAAACAGAGGCAGAAAAGCAAATATGACATAATGTCACACAAAACCCCAAAAATGGGCTGGACAAAAGTATTGGCACCCTTAACTTAATATTTGGTTGCACACCCTTTGGAAACATAACTGAAATCAGTCGCTTCCTATAACCATCAATAAGCTTCTGACACCTCTCACCCGGAATTTTGGACCACTCTTCCTTTGCAAACAGCTCCAGGTCTCTCTTATTGGAAGGACACACCTTTTCCCAACAGCAATTTTAAGATCTCTCCACAGGTGTTCAATGGGATTTAGATCTGGGGCTCATTGCTGGCCACTTCAGAACTCTCCAGCGCTTCTTTCCCATCCATTTCTGAGTGCTTTTTGACGTATGTTTGGGGTCATTGTCCTGCTGGAAGACCCAGGATCTTGGACGCAAACCCAGCTTTCTGACACTGGGCCCTACAGTGCGACCCCAAAATCCTTTGGTAATCCTCAGATTTCATGATGCCTTGCACACAGTCAAGGCACCCAGTGCCAGAGGCAGCAAACAACCCCAAAACATCATTGAACCTCCACCATATTTTTACCGTAGGTACTGTGTTTTGTTCTTTGTAGGCCTCATTCCGTTTTCGGTAAACAGTAGAATGATGTGCTTTACCGAAAAGCTCTATCTTGGTCTCATCTGTCCACAAGACGTTTTCCCAGAAGGCTTTTGGCTTACTCAAGTACATTTTGGCAAACTGTAGTCTTGCTTTTTTATGTCTCTGTGTCAGCAGTGGGGTCCTCCTGGGTCTCCTGCCATAGCGTTTCATTTCATTTAAATGTCGACGGATAGTTCGCGCTGACACTGATGCTCCCTGAGCCTGCAGGACAGCTTGAATGTCTTTGGAACATGTTTGGGGCTGCTTATCCACCATCCGGACTATTCTGCGTTGCAATCTTTCATCAATTTTCCTCATCCGTCCACGACCAGGGAGATTAGCTACAGTGCCATGGGTTGCAAACTTCTTGATAATGTTGCGCACTGTGGACAAAGGCAAATCTAGTTCTCTGGAGATGGACTTGTAACCTTGAGATTGTTGATATTTTGCCACAATTTTGGTTCTCAGGTCCTCAGACAGTTCTCGTCTCCTCTTTCTGTTGTCCATGCTTAGTGTGGCACAGACAGACACACAATGCAAAGGTTAAGTGAACGTCTCTCCTTTTTATCTGCTTTCAGGTGTGATTTCTATATTGCCCACACCTGTTACTTGCCCCAGGTGAGTTTACAGGAGCATCACATGCTTGTAACATTCTTATTTATCCGCAGTTGTGAAAGGGTGCCAATACTTTTGTCCAGCCCATTTTTGGAGGTTTGTGTGACATTATGTCGAATTTGCTTTCTTTCCTCCCTTTTTTTGTTTTGTCCCATACACACAAAGGGAATAAACATGTGTATAGCAAAACATGTGTTAATGCAATACGTTTCGTGAGAAATACATGATTTCCTGGAGAAATATCAAGGGTGCCAACAATTTCGGCCATGACTGTATATATTATATATATATATATATATATATATATATATATATATATATATATAATATATATATATATATATATATATATATTAGTACATTCACATCAGTCCCTAACGCTCAAGGGGCGTACAATCTAAGGTCCCTTTTTCACATTCATACATACACATACTAGGGCCAATTTAGACAGGATCCAATTCACCTACCAGCATGTCTTTGGAGTGAGGGGAGGAAACCGGAGTACCCGGAGGAAACCCATGCAGGCACAGGGAGAACCCGTGGTTGGGATTTGAACCAATGACACATTAGTACTGATGCCAGGCAGAAGTGCTTACCATTTAGCCACTGTGCTGCCCCAGTACCTTAAAGGATAACCGATAATGTACCAATCTGTAATGGTGAATGAAAGTCATAAGGCTTGACTTATCTTGCAGATTTATATATTTCTTTTGGACTGGCACCAGCTCATTCTGCCCATGGCATTGCTGAAGCTCTGCTAGAATGGACAAAATTCCCACCGGGGAATATAGATACTTAGGATTTCTTGCTGGATTGAGCTGACAATTTACTGATGTATGTAATCCAGGCCTTGGTTTATGCAGTTTCTTAGGAATTTCTTAAGATTGGGCTGTTGCTATAGATCATCATATAAAAACTACAGCTTTATTTAAAAATGGTGCTAATTAAGTGCAGTAACCAATTTATCAGATCAGTTTTTTTATCATATCCTTGCTGTACTGCACTATTCTGCCTCCATTGCCTTTTGTCTGTAATCTGGTTATCCTGGAACAACTGGTTTATTGGCTGAGGCTGGTAAAAACACATGTGCATCTAGGCTGTTTTTAAACAGCGATCAGGTAACACGTATTTGGTAAACCACACACAAATACACAGAATAATTATTCTAGGGCCTATTTATGGTTAACTGTATATTGATGAATGATATATGGTGTTAAGCTATCACCTATGGTTCTGGATAATTTTGATTAATTTTTGCCATTTCATGGGTACAAAAAGTTTTAAGGCTTGACATTTCTATGGTGCCTATTTGCTCAACACAGTCCTGTCTTTTAAATGGTACACAAAATGGGAATTATGTTGCAGTTGTGCGCACTAAAAATATAATGTGTATTTTTTGCTGAAAATATAGATTTAAAGTTAGTTGTGTGCAAAAAAAAAAAGTGAAAATATGTTTTGAGGTTTAAAGTTGTAACGTGCATTTTAACATTCAGCACTTTTGCATTTTGAATGTGACTTTTCTGTATGTTTTTCCAGGGGGAAATCTTAGGTAAAGTAGGTTATTATGCCAGAGTGTTTGTTTATGGGGACATTCCCAGCCCCCCCCAAAGCTGCATTCACACTTCGGCTTGAGTCTTTGGTCGTTTTGTAGGCTTTTTTCTTTATAACTTGTTTTTAGGTAATGGAAAACTAGAAAATAGTTACTGCTCTTAGGACCAAAAACGCTTGAAAATTGTACTGCAAAGAAGCTTGTGCAGGGGTTGGTCAAGTCTGTGCAATCTTTGCATGAAAACAGTTTCTCAATGGTTCTATCTGTGATTAGGAGTGTAGCTCTCTACAAATCCATTTTCCTATGCATTTTTTTTTTTAAAACTTTACACTGAGAGAAATGGTACATAGATCCTGCTCTTGACACACAGGGACAGCTTATAGAGTTGCCAGTCGGCCCTGGACTATGCAGAACAGCATGCTGTGCAATGATATATTGCCTTGTAGACCGGTAGGGTGGTATACAGGTCCAGGGCAGTGATCTAGTTGGGAAGTTGAGTTCCTGGAGCCCCTTTGGGCATTGCCCACCATGAGACGTAAGATTAGTTCCTCTAGGGCAGTGATGGTGAACCTTTTAGAGACTGAGTGCCCAAACTGCAACCCAAAACCCACTTATTGCAAAGTGCCAACACTGCAATTCAACATGAATGCAGAAGTTTTAGTTTAGAAAAAACTACTAATACATGAATGGGTGCCAATAAGTAGTGCTCACTTTGCAGGCTGGAGCGGTACAGATGACGTCACCGGTGTGGTCTCAGAAGTGTCTCAGCAACGTGCAGAGGATGGTTGGATTTCAGCAAGGCTGTCATGTGGCACTAGTGGGCCCATGTCTGACTGCAGTGATCCCATAAACTTTATCGCTCCACAGACCCCAGTATGTGTCTGTCACCAATCAGAGGGCTGAATATTCAACTTCCCGACTCCGGCCATGTACAGGGACACTGCAGTCCCAGCACTTTGTCAGGACTGATGACTGGAAGTCGGCCTGGGGCGCCAGCGGGGTGATCGGACAGACAGAGGAGGCTGTGGGTAAGGAGTACTTACCAGACTGTCACCAATCACCG